CGTAGTTTCACCGCTGGTTTGGTCTCAGCAACTGAGACAATTATTATGTACGTGTATTATCTCTTCATGTTAATATCTTGATATTCTTTTTTTAAGGTCATGCATAAACTCACCTCATTTCATTGTCCATTGGCGCTTCTAACAATATTCAACCCTTTTTAACCTCAGTAGCTCAGGACGCCTCGAGAAAAACATAGGAACTAAGAGATGGGTCCCCTAATAGGGAACTATTCCTATACTTTCCCATGCGCAGTAAATATTTTACATCCTCCAGCTGTGCCTGCTCAGCCCGTTCTTTGTGAAAATCATCACGCAACGTTGCTCTCGTCACGACAAGTTGACTTGCGTGACACTGACGCCAGAAAGGGAGCTTTGCGGTCTTATAAAACACATCCCTCCTACCTATCCCTTGTAATTTTAATAATTGCGGGCTTCAAAAAAAATATCCTGTGTAACAGACGTTATTTTTTCGCGTTGTTTTCGGCGAGTGAGTTTAGAATAGAATAATTCATTTAATATCGAAGACGTAGGAAGTGTTTGCACAATCTTCTGAGCCAGAGGGAAAAAAACGCTCGACAAAAAACAAAAAAATAAAAAAATAAAAAACCTAAAAAACGTAAGCCTGTGCCGGGTGGGTGTAGAGAACCCTGGGAACGAGGTTGTCGATAAACATGCATTATACATAAATGCGGCTGTGATCAAAGACCGGTTTCCCTCCAGTTATCATTCTGAACATTTGGATAAATGAGATGGAACAGAACGTCAAGTAAGTTATTTATTCAGGTAGTTGAAATATCGGCCCGGTATAACACCCAGTTTGTAAGTTGATGTACATTTCTCTATTTGGCGCGTGCCCCAGCGCGTACCCTTATGGCAGCTTATAGTCATCATGGTCCTGACTGACATGTAGCAAGTCAAATATAAACAAACGTCAAACCGTCGCGCTTAGCTTTTTCTCTTTACATATCTGCATATAAACGGGTAAAAACTGTCTGCTTTATAGATTTCTGGTTAATTAATCTTCCATTTTTTATTTTAAGAATTTTCGTCACTTAACCAAGCAGTTTGATTCTGGCAAGGAAGTTGATCGATTCCCCGATCTACTTAATTATTTCATGACTGTATGTTTTACACTTCAATGAATGAAAGTATTTCGTATTCGGCACGCACCATACGTCAACATTGCTTCATGCCGAGTAAACTTTCCGTGTCCTATAATTTTTGCATGAGGTCGATATTTCAGTTGACTATCGTTCCTTTAAAATGACGTTTTTCCTCAAGTGTCTTCCAGCGTTTTGTAAAGACATATTGTAAAGTACTTATTCCCTCAGAGATGCACTCTTTCTTAAGACACATATGTCAGTTGATTTGGTTGGTATAAATACTTTTCATTTATTTTATTATTATTATTATTTTAACCACAGGTAGCCCAAGCTCGAAATATGAGCATCGGCGAGCATCGGTATTGTTGCGTAACATTCAAAATATAAGGAGTTGTATGGGAAAAAAACCTATCAATTCCGTAACCTACGAAAATAAAAGGATTTCAATAAAAAACCGCTTACCTTACTTGAAATGTGTGTTACGTCTCTCCTGTGTGGTCCACGGGCCGATTTATGGCCGTTTTATCGGTTTTTATGTCAACGGTTTTCTCTCTATATAAAGGTTTACCAAGGTCTGGCACTCCAGCGAAGCGGCTCGACTGATCCACCGAAGGAAAACGGCCGGAAATTCGCTCCAACTGCTCCGATCGCCTCCAAATTCCGCCTAGGTAACACACGATAGTTCTTCTTTCCATTCGTTATCTTGCTTCAAGACCCCTTTGCACCGAGAGCGAATCAAAGGTCGCAAATCTCTGCAACCTTTCCCGTCTGAAGCCATCGACTGAGGCTCGGCCTGAACTCCGCGTTACCGTTGACAGATAGCTACACGGCCTGAGACTCAAATTACTCATACTCGGGGTGGGAGACAGTCTCTTGTTCCCGTTGTTTTCCTATTTTGTCAACGGGAGCAAGAGACTGTTTCATCATCATCATCATCATCATCATTATTATTATTATTATTATTATTATTTTATTATTATTATTATTATTATTATTATTATCATCATCATCATTGTAGTTGTTTTGATTTCAAAACTGGTAAAAATAAGCAAACAAATAATTAAATATTAATTAAACAAATAAAACACATATAAGGACAAAAAAGTGACGTTTTGCACAACTTGGCGTGGAACAATCCACTGGCGGCGTTACCAAACAGGGATTAACACTTGACATCGACAGACTTATGTTTTAACCAGTCCTTATCAGGTATAAACAGCCAAGAGAGAGCCAAAATATAAATCAACACAATCTAAAATACGCCCGATAAGCCTTATCTCTGGAAAGAATTTCAGCATTTTCTTCCTTATCAAGCATGTTATCGGTGCAGTTCACTTTTAAAATGAGATTGATTTTTAGACATTGCAAATCAAAATATTGCGCTAATAAATAACTTTTTTCCACGTGTTAGTGGGATTTTCATCTAAAAAAGGAGGAAATTTACCGAGTTTTGGTAGAAAGATTATGCAATGACAATACCGGATCAAAGAAAAGGTATGCAAAAGGGTTTTTCCGCGGTGTCAATCAAACCGTTACCGTAGCATCCACTGCGTTTGTCAAATAAAGGCGGCGATGCTGCAAATTCCTTTTCTCCAAGATACATCCGACATCTCTCGTTAACCTGAAGTCAGAGCATAAGGAGCCAATGCGCTTAACCTACTGAAACTTAATAGTAATGAACTGCTTCCCATCGACAATTAAGCTAAGCGCTTTGCGCGGCACGTACTCACGGGTCGTTGCAAGAGTTTCCCTACTTAACGCTGACTTACCTAGAAAAAAAAAAGGTTCACTGAGATACGCGACTATACAGCTGTAGTTTCATCATACATGATTTCATCGTCAGGATTTGTGACTGTAAGATGGATTCTCAAAACTTATATAGGCCTGGTTCACAGGTGCGACGCAAGTGCAAACGCAAAGGAAGTTCACACGTTCATGCAGTTTTTACCATGCGTTTGCGATGTCCCAGTCTACACGTGTGAAGGGCAAACCAATGCGTAAATGCAAGAGCGCAAAAGAAAATTAAAATTTCTCCATTTCTTGAGTCGGCGCTTGGCCTAAGGCGTTTCCATTTGTGTTAAGGAAGGTCACAAGTGTGCCTCTTTGCGTTTCAATTTTCGTTGCGTGTGTGAGGCAGGAACTGATTACTGACATTATTTTACTTTTAATTTACATGCATCTTTCATTGAAAAGAAAGCGACGTGGCCGTTTATTTATTTAAATATTTAAAAACATGACTCTGACATCCAGATATGCCGACCCTTCTCAGACGGAGTTGATATTTCTACACTACGGATGCAATTGAAACATGAATAACAAAAGAAATATAAAGCAGTGAAAAAAGCCTTTTAACGAAATCATGCCTGTCGGAAAAAAGGAAATTAAAGTTCTGACTTTTTAAAGGCAAACGCTTGAATCTGCTCAGATATATACTTTAGAGGCTATAATTATCGACACCTTTTTATTAAAATGGCCCCCCTCATCTACTGACTTGAGCAAAAATTAATGTATTGATAATTAAACAGGAAGAAACTATCTTAACGAACATATGCCAGTTAGGAGATTGACAAGTGCTAAAAAAATAAAAGTTTTCAGCCTTAATTTAGAAAGCCTTAATATGTGATAAACTCACGACAAGAAATAAACTTGAAAGGAAAACGTTTATACCCGTTTCTGTCCACGCCGGTGTGTTTGAGCGGCGAGTTCTATTCTGATCGGCCAGTTCTATTCTGAGACTAATTGCATAGAAGCAGATGTTATGTTTTTTATAATGCAAGCGATTAGTTCTAACTGAAAATAAATTGAAGGCAGTTAATGGGTTTCTTTTTTTTTTTTTTCAGTTTCCACTTAATTTGAATTAAGGATTCAGCTGACCACCTCACCATCACGTTCGAGAAATCCACAATTCTCATGCGTCGATTTCAAATTAACTGTCAAAAGACAGCTGTGCGCATCTTTACTGAGTACGATGTCTTGGTTTTTCATCCTTGGTTGGTTTCCAAGCGTTGTTGCAGTCTTTGGAAATGCCCTGGTTGTGTTTTTAATTGCCTCTAGGCCACGATTACACACACAGCCTAACTGGTTTATAACGTCCCTAGCTTTGGCTGACTTTGTTGTTGGTTTCATCTATTTTCCCACCCATTTTCTGTGCGGAGAACGTTCCCTTTGCAAGAAAGAAATAGCTCAAGATATAGCTGTACTGGCGATTAATTCATCAATAACGAATTTATGTGCTATGACGACTGATCGTTACATAGCTATCATGAAACCCCTGAGATACGTAGCATTAATGACTTCTCGTCGAGCCACAATCATTATAGCTCTAGCGTGGCTCATACCATTAATTCTCGACTATACTCCAGCTTTATGCACCCGCCTGGGAAAGTGCAACTTAGAAAGCAAAGCTCTCGTATCAACCAAGATGATTTTGTTCGAGATTCTTCCCTGTCTGTTTTTGCTTATAACCACGACACAAATCATAATAACTGCAAGAAGACATTGGCTTAAAAATGCTCTTCTTAACTCCCAGTTACAATACAATGAGCCTAATCGCCAAAGAACAAAAGACTATACCGCAGCCCCGGCAGTAATCGTTATTGTAGTCGTAATTTTTCTTGCCTGCTACTCCGTTGAACTGTACAGTGTTGTTGGTTTTCTAGTTTTTTCTTCCGATCCATCGGAAGAAGTTGTGGAAGTTATTAGGGACTTTAAGATCTGGGACGCGACGACTTCTAGAACGCGGTGGCTGATAAAGGACTGGACCTGTAGAACGCCGTCGTTTGCGCGCGAAAAGTAAAGTTAAGATCTCCGTCGCGATGCAAGACGACGCGGCTGCAAACAGCTCTTTATCAGTGTGATTCTTCGGCAATTCTTTCGCAGAAATAGCCATGGCATCATTTAAGAAAGTCCAAGAAATGCTTTGTTTGTGCTTTGTTCGATAGCGTCACCTCCACTACTTCGTTGACGCTTCGGTTTGTCATCGTTTTCATCCGCTGATGAACCTCTTTTCTTCGTCTCTGACAGCTTCTCCATCGCTTTAAGTCTAACATCTTCCGCTTTATCCCGATCGTATTGACGTTTTTTGCTAGCTGTTCCCTGTGTTTCCTGTAATTCCGCTTCACCACTTTCCCCCAACGCGATGATCATATCCAATAGGTTTTCTAGTTCCGTTGGCTCATCGGGAGTTATCCCAGTTGCTTTTTCCTCCGCTAGAAGTTTGTTCTTATGCTTGTAAACAAGGATTCCCACGTGGTCTCGGACTGATCGCTTATCAACCCTGAATTTCGGCACAGTGAATTTGTTCAAGGTGTCTGCTATTTTTTCCTACATTCTGCTTCTTTGTGTTGACCCTTTCTTAGTTGTGTAGGGATTTACATTGACGACTTCTCTGCATAGAATGGCTTCATGATCATGAGTCCAAAACATTACTGAACTAAAGGGAAGCATAAAAACACACGCAGTTTAATAAAATTAAATTAAATAATACAGGCTTAAAATTGGCTTTTAGCGGCAGATGAAATCAATAAATCGAGAATTGCAACGGTACAAGAGACGAGAAGAGTATGCAGAAGACTCCTGCATTCACTATTTGCAGTTTTAGCTAGTGACTTACTTCCAAGCCTCGCTCGAAGTCGAAGTCGAAGGCGCTGCCATTTTATAAGCTTCGTACACCTGAAAGAAATTTAAAAATAATCAAAATCCTTCCATCTCTGCGATCTAAAATGTCGCCAGAAATTACGTCCAATGATCCTAGAAGGCTGATTTTACATGTATAGAGGAATATATCATCATTTAATTTAAGTACAGGAATAAATATACTCACGTTTTGTACAGAACGTCAAACAGGCAAAACCCATGTTCTCGACGCGACGTGGTGACACCAGGACAACGGCTTGAGCATGCGCAACATGTCTCCTCTTTGAAAATTTACTTCCTGTCGCGTCTTACAGCCGTCGCGTCTCGGATCTTAAAATAGGGACTTTAAGATCCAACGACGCGACGGCGCCAAGGACGTCGCGTAAAAAGTGAATTTGCGTTCTTTCAGTCTTTATAGCGATTATTCCTACCAACTTACTTTGTCAATTGTAGGCGAACCCTCCTGAAGCTGAATTTCAAGGGACCAAATTCAAGCTCAGAAAGAGAAATAAAGTTTCGTCTTTGCTTGTTTACGTCCTCCATAAAACGCGAAATTAGGCATTTTCACGTCGTAGTCGTGCAAAAACGGGAAAGAAATGTACAAAAAAGTGTGATGCACGTGCGAAGTTGTTGTTTTGCTAATTAAACCTATTGTTTTTTTGACGTTCTCGTTGTCGTCCGCGTCGTTGGATCTTAAAGTCCCTAATAGCAAATTTATCTCGTCCGTCAGCAATAATTCTCTTCTTTGTTTACTAAGTAAATTTACTTGGTTGGAGATCATGTGTTAATTGTTCTAAAGTCCATATAGTCATCATGTGACATTAACAACAGCCCTCCTTGTTTTCATTCTGGAGTGAGGGAGGTGTGACTGGGGAAAATTTGCCAATATCGCCAGTATCCATAATAGAGATGTGCTCTTTTTAGGACTCATCTCTGAAATAATATTCTCATTTATAAGGTGACAAAACAGCCCTAATAGCACGTGTTTTCTTCTTCTTTTCTTTCTTTTTCGCGCGTATACCTTTCAAAACACCCATTCAAGAAAGTACCCTCCTCCCCTAGACTCAGTCAGAGGTGGCCAAGTTAGTCAGCCGTAGCGAGGTCATAATCAGTCGAATAGAACATTTAATTTCACTTTCAGTTTCCCCGAAAGTTCCTTGATTAGTCAACGCCATAGCAGTACAGCTTCAGAGATTTGATGGCATCGCACTTTACTTTCGCACCTCTCTAATCATCTGATCGCGCCTCGATTACAGACGGTAGGACGACCGACTGAAAGGTGTTAAAAACGTAAGTACATTTGAAGGGAAAATTTAATCCGACTTTTATCTTTGATTATGTGTTTAGATCTTGCTAGGTCTGTTAGATATGCACGGAGATCAAGGGGTATTATAAATTTAGCAGGTTTAGCGCAGTCTGAGGTGTGTTTCAGTTATTGACCGTTTTGAGCTAGTACTTCGTTTCTTTTGAACTGTGAGAACAAGTAAAAACCCTCATTAAATATTCAAGAAAGCACTCTTTATACCTCGATCATACTCCGAGGAAGTTAAGTCAGTCAGCCGAAACTAGGTTATATTTAATCTCACTTTCAATTTCACTGAAAATTCCTTCCCTGATATAAGTCAACGCTCTATAGCATTAGGATTTATAATTTGATCGCATTACAGTTTACAGCACCCTTCGAACGCCTAGAACAGACAAAGGGACGGAAAACTTTGTGAAATCGCAAGTTTGCATTTTGGAAGCGAAAATTTTACGCTGAACTGATGAAATGTTTAAATGCGATGCTCACATCACAGTTTACTTCCGGCACTTCTCAGTGTCTATGAATCGATAAGAATACAGAACAAAAAAAGATGTCTTAAAAACGTAAATACCAGGATTTAAGGTGAAAAGTTACTCTGAATTCGAAGTTTATCTCTCTGATCATTCAGATGCGCCCTCGACGATCAAGTAATGCCATGAACTTAGCAATTTCAGCGGCCTTCAGTACTGGTTTGTTTGAGAGTACATTAGAAGATGTTTCAATCTGTGATTGACTGGCTTCCCTAAGTAATCGATTGAAAAAAAGAGTTAAACGAGTAAACGGCAGCCACATTAGATATCAAAGGGGCCTACAGAGTTTGACACATAGTCTGTAAACATGAACAGTTCTGGCGATTTACATATAGAAGGAAATAAAACATTATGAAGGCCTCATCTATGAAATCCCGTGACTTCCAAACCCCCATACTTTAACACGCTGTCTTCCTGTTTCAGAACTGTCAGAGAACCGTGTCCGTAGCCTGCTTGGCCAATGATTTAGTTTTGCCAAAGTTCGTGCAAGGGACCCGCACAGAAACCCTTGCTACGCACAGGTAAATATTCAAGAAAATAGTTCATATGTGGTAATTATATGAAGCACCGTATTTGTTGGGTAGCCAGCCGTCCGCACTCATCATAAACTCATTATAAACTCTGGATTGGTGATCCAAAGAAGTTCGCATAAATGGTGAAGGGAGAAATTTAAAAACAGAGTAAATGAAATTAATAAAGTAATAATTATAATAGTTCTGAGGTATGCAAGTCAAGTAAGGAGTGTTTGCATGCTTGAGTTAAGTTTTCGAGCTTAAGGCTGGTTTTAAAGATCAATTTTCACTAATACAGTGAGGCATTACTACAAAACGCGTATCACAAATCCTATAAAATACTGTACTAGTGCAAATCATGGCAAATACATAATGTAATATTCCACAATATCTATGACCCATTAGGGCTACAAACCCTTGGGGCTTTATAACCAACCAATAACGGCATTATATAAGCTCTTGTGATTAGTTAGTATGATGGATGACCTAACGATTACTGGACTTCACGAGACCTTCACAGAACTAACTGGGCAGTGCACAGTTAGTTGATATGTGCATATTTGCACCTGCCACTGGGTCACGACTAGCCTCTAGACTCTTTTTACGATATATATCTTTCCAAGTCGCTTTTGTTGTTTTTACAAAAGCGACTTGGAAAGATATACATCCTTGTAAATACAAAATATGTCAATTAATGCAAAAATGATTGAGGTTTTGATGCCCTGAATGAACCTACCATTAGCGGCCTGTTGAGGGGCGGAGGGAAGGCAGGTGGGGGGAGGGGTGGGGAGGGGATAAGAGTAGAGCTTTACTCAAGCTTGGACGTTGTGCTGCGGGGCTCAAAATAACGCCCGGCCAACAGACAATGTCCGGCCAAAATAATCGTTACAGTCAAACCTCTCGGTACAGGCACCTCTATAAAACGGACACCTCTCTATTACGGACAGTTTGTTTGGTCCCAGAAATGCCAAAAATATCATACATTGCCTTCCTCTATAATACGGACACCTCTGTAAAGCGGACACTTGTAATTGGTTCCGTCCCTTTGGTGTCCGTATTAATAAGGATTGACTGTATTCGCATAATACATGTACATTTCTATTGTTTTCCCTTCATTACCACCATCACCTCTACATTTCTATTGTTCTCTCTCCAGCACCACATTTCTATTGTTTTCCCTCCACCAGCACCACCGCTACCACCACATTTCGATTGTTTCTCTTCACAGCCGCCACCACCACCACATTTCTATTGTTTTCCCTCCACCATGACCACCATACAGTCAAACCTCTTTAATACGGACACCAAAGGGACAGAACCAAGTGTCCACTTTACAGAAGTGTCCGTATTATAGAGGTAGGCAATGTATGATACCCTATTTGGCATTTCTGGGACCAAACGAACTGTCCGTAATAGAGACGTGTCCGTACCGAGAGGTTTGATTGACTGTATTTCTTTTGTTTTCCCATGTTTAACCAATGAAAACGTTTCTTATTTTCTAATCACCCAACCGAAAACCAAGGTATTTATCGACCTTGAAGTAACTAGAAAACCTGTCAAACCGGTTAAAACACCTTAAAATAGCACACGACCTTATCTTAATTAGATTCCGCAGCATTATATTCATGAGATAAAGACAAGAAGCTATGACGCCATGGGCGTTAATATATTCCTACGCAAGTTAATGAGATTCCTGCGCATAAAAGGGGTTTATTAATTAATTCGGTGCGCCCTATACGACTTAAAGTGATTCCTTAGCAAAAGAATCTAACATAGATTGTAGATGAAACTTGGCACACTGATGTAACAAGTCAAGGAGATGATAAAAATGCAATAAAAAGTGGGGGTCACCATGCTCGTTTTCACGTCACAATGCTGACAATTACGGCTATTTAGGACCCTTTGGTAAAAACCGCGCGCAGCCCAGAGCTAGACAAAAAGGATATATTTTTTCGATGATGCATGTGGTATCGCACAGAATTTGAGTTAGCCTGTGAACAGGCCTTTGGTCTAGCGGGGAACTAGGAAGAGGGAAAAGCGAAAAGGGCTCTCTCCTCCCTCCCTTTCCTCGCTATTTTTTCCCCAAACAGAGAGCCTGTTCACAGGCTAAATTTGAGTTAAGTGTATTGTTTATCGACTTACTTACGTACAAGAAAAATGCCTTTTAATGCCCTTGTTTCTACTTTACGCTCCAAAGTAGCTCACTTAATTTGGACACGCGCTATTCGACCCGTTATAGCTCAATCCGTACAATTTAGTAAAATTGCCAAAAACCTGAACACAGATTTATGCCCATTTTTTTCTCATTGAAAGGAAGCACTGTTCTTATGAAAATCATGAAATAAAAAATAGGGGTCACCGCACTCGTTTTTGCGATAGAGCTGCAGAAAGTGCCCCCAAATGTATTTCCTCCGATTTTTGAGCGAGGACTGGGGCGAGTTTTAAAATGGCATGTATGAAAGGAAGGGGGAAGAAAGCATTAAAAAATCGTTTTATAACATAACAAAAGTAAATAGCGCGCTCTGATTGGTCAGTTAGCCACTACCATTTGCCCGTGGGTGCACGCTAAGAAACTGAGCTAGCGCGGTAAAATTTAGGCAAATTCAACAAATCTCCTCTCCTGACGGTAAAATACACCGATGAAATGCACAGATGAAAAGTGGAAGGTGAAGAAAATACTAAGCTGTCGTTTTGAAGGAAAAAAGACAAAAGATCAAGCGACAAATTTGCCCTGGATGAATTAATCACTGTTTTCCTCGCGGCTAGAATCGGCTGGAGGAAAATCGAGCGAGCGAAGATTTAAGGTACATTTTTTGTATTTTTTTATAGAGGAGAAAGTCTGTTTGAAATGTAAATTTATCAATTACCATTGTGTTATTGACTTTTTGGTCAAGCTGATGCTAAATTCAAGCAAATATTTTAGGAAACACGCTCAAATTCGAGACAGCTTTGTTGTGGAGTTTTCATCTCATCGATTAACAATTTTAGTTGAGTTTAAACGGGCACATAACGCTGGAATAGGCGAATTTCATTTGAGTACAGAAACATTTGGGTTTTCAAATAAATTTTTCAAAAAATAACTTCTGTGTGTATTATTTTGTTCCTCAGTGTTCATTCATAACAGTCGTTCAGGGAACAGTCGAAAAACAACAGCTTCAGCGCCGGCTGTGTGTCGGCGAATTTCAGTTGACTTTCATAGCTGGATTTCCCCAGACAGATTTCGATACAAAGCTAGTTAATTTCTTTTTAAAATTAGTGTTACCTGTTATTCTAAAGGAATTACTGTCAGATTTTCTCATTTCTACTTTACGTTTATTTCAAAAATTGTCACATAAATAAGCTTGATAATTATTTCGTTTATTTAGTTTTCGCTTATTTTTTAGAGTCTTTTTAGTTGGTGTTTATAGTTGCAGATATAGTTTTTCCTCAAAGTTTTTACCCTAATATTAAGAGCAAGTAGACAGATGCCATTCACAATAACAACAAAAAACGTTTTGCAATTTACCTGAAGACGGAGAAAGGCTGATTCAGCGAAAGAAAAACTCAAAGGCAAGTTTTTGAAAAACAGAACATGATTTGTTTACGCGCGGGCAGATGGCAGCATACATGAACTCCGACCGACGACTCAACTGAAGGCAAATGGAAAACAATGTTTTTCTCTTTTGATTATGTTATAAAAGAAATGGTAAACGTTGCAGCTGTGCAACCATGGAGTTATGGATGCACTTGGGAGATTTGCTAAGCACTCAAGTAGCTAGAGTCGCACTCGGCTATCGCCTCGTGCGACTCTTACGCTTCTTTCGTGCTTAGCAACCTCCCGCGTGCATCCATAACTCCATGGTTGCACGCTGCACGTTTACCATTTCTTAATTATACAGAATTTACATCAACATATCACAGTTAGGACGCAATGTGATAAAGATGGCACTAAAATGAAATTAAATCAAAGTGAGTTAGCACAAGTCTAACATACACTATCAAGGTTCTCCTGAGGAAGTCGAACTCACATTCCCAACAAACAAAGTCTCATCTCGGCAAGAAACAACCGCAAGCGAACATTCCAAAAGCGTTTCTCTTCAGTCAACTACATTTTAATAATGTTACTTCTGATGCTCTTTTTCACGGCGGCAATCTTGTTATGCACAGTATAGTAAGAAATGCGCAGTGAATAACCAGCGACTTACCTCAGTTTAACCATCTGAAAATACATGTACATTTAACAATTATTACAGCCACTATTCACTTCGATTTCAAAGAATAATTGTTTTAGTATATACACACGAAGTGGTCTCAACAAAATCAGAGAGGAAACCATTAAAAGGTACGATTTAAATAAATAAATAAATAAATAAATAACGATTGCAGGTATCACATCCACAAAGTGGTTCTTCGTCTACCTGATTCCTGGTCGAATCGGAATTTGGAAATGTTAGTTTTTGAGGAGAAGGAAAACCGGAGTGCCCGGGGAAAAACGGTCCCTCTCGGAGCAAAGGAGAGAACCAACAACAAACTCAACCCACATGTGGCGTCGACGCGGGGATTTGAACCCGGGCCACATTGGTGGGAGGCGAGTGCTCTCACCACTGCGCCACCATTGCTCCCCGATTTGATTGACAGATCAAATCACGCGAAAGTTTAAAATTAGATCTTTGTAGAATGTTCAAACATGGCAATTCACAAGTTTATCACTTCGCAAACAACAGCGTAATGGCTTAAATGGAACCCGCTAAAAGTTTGAACTGTTTCCTTACCTGAGAAGAAAAGTAGAGCTTTGCTGTTTTCTGTTGACTCGCAAAGTTTACAGCCAAAAGGGTTTATTGTGTCGTTCTTCGCATGAAATGCTGACGACAAAAATGGAGGCTCGGTTGCTCGAGGTAAGACGTCGTCTTCCTCTATCATTCTTTTTCTTGTTAACTTGAAACGTAGAATTACTGCAAACATTTCCTTTTAATTTCTTTGTCATAAATAAACTTCGATTTTTGAGCCAAAGTTTTCTGTTAGAAAACGCTGAGTTCACGAAACGGCTTCTTCTACGCGAATACAAAAACAATCCATCGAGCACAAACCTCAGCTACAGTAAATTGAAAAACGCCGTATTGAATCCTTACAAGTCTTTTCTTGCCTTAAAAAGGTCAACCCTAGGATTTTGTCGACTTTTAAAAGATCTTTCTCTAAAAAAATGGGAAAAACACCGACCTCACACATTATCCACTCGCTAGGAGGTGAATATTGTTGAATAGTCCGAGATAACGAACCAATCAGATTGCTTAATCACCAAGATCACTTAAAATTAGTTAGGCTCGGAGATACTAGCTATGTAAGCTACACTAAAATCCGAGGATAAATAAAGTTTATGTATGTATGTATGTATGTATGTATGTATGTGTATGTACTAATAATATATGTTAGCTGTTTGCGATCACAAATTTGGAGAATGCAGTACAGACGTTGACATTCTACGGTTTTGTGAATGTCACTTAGCGGTTGCTAACTGTATTAAGTTTAGAAACATCACAATACGGTTTTTTCACTAAAAATAATGTATCGAGTTTTGATTGGCCGTTTTACTGGCAGCCCCGCGTTACAAGCTTTATATCGAGTGCCTCTTGCGAGGGAACACGACGAACTGGAAAGAAAGCGTTGCACATGGGAAATGTGCTCGCTCGCGTGGAAATGAGCTGCGATTTATTTCATACAAACTGTAAATGCATGACGCATAAAAGAGGAAAGCTATTCCTCAATTAGTTTATTCTGATTTTTCTATTGCTGTGCTTTGACATATTAAGGTATCATCCAGGGTAAAAAATCATCATTTTTCTAGATTTGCAATTTTTTGACGATTGAATAAAGCTCATCAAGAGCTTTCTTTAAAAAAAAAATTCCAGGAGAAAATGTTTTTTTCTGTGCAGACTTATGGAGTGCAAAAGTTTGGCAGTTGATAAAGGCTGGATACGATTTTTTTTCCCGTATCTTTGACTTGAAATACTTTCTGAAATAATCTACTGATACCTGATGTTCTTCCTTGGCACATTTTTTACTAGATCCCAATCAAACATGGAGTACACTTTGGAACAATTAAACTATTTCAGAGCATGTTACATCGCCTTCAACTTAGTTCCCCAAGGGCTTCGAAAAGTCTTCAAACGAGAGTGGGATTTCCTTTACAAGACAACGCCGTTTGGGGAATGGAAAGATATTTCACAAAATGGCCGCGATTTCTACAACAAAGAATCACGAAAGAGTCACACAAAGAATGCGCGACTTTTGGCGACAATACAAAGGGGAAACACAGCGGAGTGGGATTGCAGTTGCCTATTTCTTGCTATTTTGTACTCGGATTGCATTGGCAGTACTCTTAGTCCCGCAGTCAGAAAAGAAGTTGACGATCTCAGACAAGTTCGAAATGATATCGCTCACTTGAACGAGGTTGAACTTACTGATGCTGAATTCCATAATTATGTAGCAAGAGTGTTAGCTGCTTTTAATTCACTGAAGCTTCCTATAAATGAAGTTGATGATATAAAAAACCAGACAGACTTTCCAACAGCTCGAGTAAACAGCCTTAAAATGCAGGCTGATAATCTTAAAGCTGAGTTGAAAACCAAAGAACAAGAAAACAAAAATCTTACCTCGGAATTACAATTGACCCAAGCCACATTACAAACAAAACAGGAAGAAGTAGAAACACTTACTCAGGAAATCAATTCCAAAGTCGACTCTTTCTGTACTCTGACATTCAAGCCATCACATAAAATCATCAAACGATCAAGTGATGTCAAAAGAATCACGAAAAAACTGGACGAGCTTTACAACGAAAGTAATGGAGCTATCAGCACCATTTATCTATCAGGAATACCAGGCTGCGGAAAAAGCCAATTAGCTCGACAACTGGGACAGGACATTTTCGATAGGAGGTTGCATGAGAACGACAGTCTCACGTTTGTTGCAACCCTAAATACAGAAACCCTGGATTCACTTGCAGAGTCCTATTCAAGGCTGGCAAGACATTTGGGAATAACAGAATACACTCTCACCAACCTCGAGACTTCTACAAAGGGGAACCCAAAAGAAAAAATACAGTATCTGAAGCGAGCCATTTATCCAAAGACGAAGCATTTCTCCAACTGGTTGATAATTGCAGATAATGTTGTTGACCTATCATTGGTTAGTAGAGACCTACCTCCGACCGGCAGTGAAGAGTGGGGCCATGGTCAGGTGCTAATAACTACTCAAGATAGCAGCTCAATACCTTCCAATGCTCCACTTACTTACCATGAGTCTATTAGCAAAGGAATGCATCCCGATGACGCAGTGAACCTATTACGACAAGTATCTCAGATTCAGGATCAGAACCAAGCCGAAAAGGTCGCTGAAGTTCTCGAGTATCAGCCACTTGCTTTAGCAGCGGCTGCCTTTTATGTACAAACTGTTGTGGTCAGTGGTTCTCCGAATTACAGTTGGAAAAACTACTTAGAGGCACTTTCCCACGGCGAACGTGAAGCGACAGAAACACTTCTTGCAAACCAGAACATAGCGTATTCCGAAACATCAACTACTGCCATCCAAATGGCAATTATGAGAGCTTTAGAAAGTGATGACGTTCTTCGAGAAGTATTGTATTTGTTTTCTCTTTGTGCACCTGAGTCCCTTCCGATGGAAGTCGCTGTTGACTTCGTTAAATCTCGTATCGCTGGGCAATCAGGAGAATTGATAAAAACTAAATTTTTCAAAGCTTCCTTATTGTCTTGGTTGCAAGACAAAGACAGCAAATATCCTTTTTTAAGGATGCACACCATCGTTCATGAAGTTCTCAAGGTAGTTATAACATCTAAAATTGATGCAACAGATAGAATTCAGTGCATTTCGATTGTTATTCAAATCTTTCAATCTTTAATGGAAAAAAACAGAAATCTGTTGCATTCAAGTAGGCATGTGTTTGCTAAGTTACGTTTAATTGCGAGTCATTGTAAAGAATTGCATGTAATTGTTAACATCGATTTTACGAAATCAAAAATGTTTCTGAATTCAATCAACCCCCGAAAGTTAGTTTCGTGGCTTTCCTTAGCCGCTGATGTTTGCTGTAGCCTTAGTAATCTGTCGGATGCGTATCTTTTTAATACGTCAATCTGTAATTTTATGCATTTTCTTAACAATTTCAAAGACGACAAATTGTTAAAAGCGAACACGTACAACATACAAGGAAATGTTTACAGAAACCTTGGCCAGTACAGTGAAGCTAAAGAATACCATGAGAAGGCTCTGATCATAAGAAAAGAGATTTTCGGTGAACACCATGCTAAGGTAGCAGAAAGTTACAATAACCTGGGAACTGTTTACGGTGACCTTGGCCAGTACAGTGAGGCGAGAGAAAATTATGAGAAGGCTCTGATCATTATAAAAAAGATGTACGGTGAACACCATGGCAACGTAGCTGCAATCTACAACAACCTGGGAACTGTTTACACTGACCTTGGCCAGTACAGAGAGGCTAAAGAAAACCATGAGAAGGCTTTGATCATTAGAGAAGAGATTTACGGTGAACACCATGGCGACGTAGCTGCAAGTTACAACAACCTGGGAACTGTTAACAGTGACCTTGGCCAGTACAGTGAAGCAAAAGGAAACCATGAGAAGGCTCTGATCATTAGAAAAGAGATTTACGGTGAACACCATGGTGACATAGCAACAAGCTACAATAACCTGGGAATTGTTTACTCTGGCCTTGACCAGTACAGTGAAGCTAAAGAAAACCATGAGAAGGCTCTGATCATAAGAAAAGAGATTTTCGGTGAATACCATGGTGACGTAGCAACAAGCTACGACAACCTGGGAACTGTTTACAGTGACCTTGGCCAGTACAGTGAAGCTAAAGAAAACCATGAGAAGGGTCTGATTATAAGAAAAGAGGTTTACGGTGAACACCATCGTAAGGTAGCAGGAAGCTACAATAACCTGGGAACTGTTTACAGTGACCTTGGCCAGTACAATGAAGCTAAAGAAAACCATGAGAAGGCTCTAATCATTAGAAAAGAGATTTACGGTGAACACCATGGTGACGTAGCAACAAGCTACGACAACCTGGGAACTGTTTACAGTCAACTTGGCCAGTACAGTAAAGCTGAAGAATACTGTGAGAAGGCTCTGATCATAAGAAAAGAGATTTACGGTGAACACAATGGTGTAGTAGCAAGAAGCTACAATAACCTGGGAATTGTTTACAAGTTTCTTGGCAAGTACAGTGAAGCTAAAGAAAACCATGAGAAGGCTCTGATGATTGGAAAAGAGATGTACGGTGAACACCATGGTGACGTAGCAGCAAGCTACAACAACCTGGGAACTGTTTACAGTCACCTTGGCCAGTACAGTAAAGCTAAAGAATACTATGAGAAGGCTCTGATCATTAGAAAAGAGATTTACGGTGAACACCATGGTGTGGTAGCAGGAAGCTACAATAACCTGGGAACTGTTTACAGTGACCTTAGCCAGTACAGTGAAGCTAAAGAATACTATGAGAAGGCTCTCATCATTACAAAGGAGATTTACGGTGAACACCATGGTGACATAGCAACAAGCTACAATAACCTTGGAATTGTTTACAAAAACCTTGGCCAGTACAGTGAAGCTAAAGAATACTATGAGAAGGCTCTCATCATTAGAAAAGAGATTTACGGTGAACACCATGGTGACGTAGCAGCAAGCTACAATAACCTGGGAAATGTTTACAAAAACCTTGGCCAGTACAGTGAAGCTAAAGAATACTATGAGAAGGCTCTGATTATTGGAAAAGAGATTTATCGAGATTTACGCTAAGCTAAGCTAAGCTAAGCTAAGCTAAAGAAAACCATGAGAAGGCTCTGATCATTAGAAAAGAGATTTACGGTGAACACCATGGTAGGGTAGCAGCAAGTTACAACAATCTATAGCAAGGAGTTGTTTACAGAAACCTTGGCCAGTACAGTGAAGCTAAAGAATACTGTAAAACGATATTTTGGGGTATAAGTTGATACCAAAAATAAAAAAACCTTTCTCGAATAATGAATGTTACTGAATCATGAAGCATTGCTATTTAAATATAATTAATTATTATTATCACTGTGTAGAGTGTTTTGAATTGTTATATAAATACGTTCCACTAGAATGTACTGGGCTTACAAAAGCTATTTGTTTTTCGTTAATAAGGTTTGGCCTTCCTTTGTAAAGATGCTCTTTTCGACGTCGGTTTCTCTTTGCACGTGTGCCGCATTCAATTAAGAAATGATGCTTTTTGTTTAAAATGAACCCACACAGAGGTTCTTAAACTATTTAGTTCTGGTAAATTTAACGACATTTGTTTGTTATCTTACATTAATTGGCAAAATTGGTTTTTCCTAAATCTTCAGAAACTTCACCTTGTCAAGTTGTTTTTTCCCGGACATTCCAGTTTTTGCTATCTTTCGCGTTTTTAGTGATTTGATCGAACCTTTTGTGCGCTTCCAAAGAAAACCGCAGAGTCCAACAGACTATCTTAGTTAACTCGTTGTGATAAACAAGCTTTTGTTACTGCCTAGTTCAACTTACTTGCTAAAAGTTGTAATGAGTGATATCTTTGTTTAAAGGCTTCCGCAATGTAAATACCTTGCTAATTGATTTTTGACTAGAGAATTTGTAAACAATCCTTTAGTTAATACATGGAAAAAGGCGGGACTAATAACCATTGTACGATATTCCAATAAGAAGCTTTTAAACGACAACTTAAACACGCAAGTACGCAAATTGACAAATTGTCCATTTTAGAGTAACGAGATTGTACATATGTGATTTTCATTCATGTAAATACTCCTTGTATTTTTTGTGTCTGTCTGACTGTTCTGTTTTGACTGGACATTTGTTGGACAAAAGTGAATTTTGGAGTTTTAACTGATTTTCCTATTACGACACAACCTCGAAGGAAAGTATGTTAATAATTCTTATAGCCAATCGATTTTTTACTGATGTAAGATTATTTTAAGTTTGAGTAAGATTGGCAGCCTTCAGATTCAGTCAGGATAAAAGGCGCTGTAACTAGGTCTTGTCAGAGAGATACTGCTAGCCTTGATTGTGAAAAGTTGAGCAACAAATGATCTACATTAAAACAGTTTAAAGAAAGAAAAAGTTTGACTTCATTGTAGAGGATTACTGTTCCCCCCAAGTTTCCTACTACAATACTATGAAAAGGCTCTGATCATTAGAAAAGAAATTTACGGTGATCAACATACTTTGACTGAGGGAACATTCCACACCTTAAAGATGGTTGACAGGGTGAGGTAGAAAGTATATTCCGTTATTATTTCAGGGATTTATTTATAATATAAGGAAGTTCGGTGCACCAGTTTTTGTTTTGTTTGTTTGTTTTTGTCATAAGAGCTTTTTTATAGAAAAATTTAACCCTGAAATTTGCCAATGAAAGTATTGATAACGTGCTAAATAAGAACATACCTGAGGCTCTGAGAAGAACAATTTATTTTTCACCGCTTTACCGTTTTCTAAATCCAGAAATCCCGAATTACATAATATCCTACACTGAATCACAGTGCATGTAAAATTTGTTGTTGTTGTTGTTGTTGTTTTTTTTTCAACACATTTATATTGTGTATGGTCAATAATACATCATAACATAACAAAAGTAAAGCGCACGCTCTGATTGGTCAGTTAGCTATCTATCATTTGTCCGTTGAAGCACGTTAAGAAAAGCTAGCGCGGTAAAATTGAGGCAAATGCAGCAAATCTCTTTTCCTTTGCGGTTTAATATGCACTGATGAAATGTTCAAATGAAAAGTGGAAGTTGAAGAAAATACTTCGTTGTCGCTTTGAGAAAAAGTCAAAAAGGAGTTTTAGCGACGGCGACGGCGACGAGAACGTCAAAACAGCAATAAGCTTATTAAGCAAAACAACAAGTTTGTACCTGCATCACGTTTTTTATTTGTACATTTCTTTGCCGGTACTTCACGACTAACGACGTGAAAATGCCTAATTTCACGTTTTATGAAGGACGTAAACAAGCGACGATGAAATTTTCTTTCTCTTTCTAAACTTGAGTGCGGTCCCCAAGAACTGAACTCCAGGGCCGGAAATTTGCCCACATTACATATTTTCAGCGAAATGGAATAAATGCGACAGTCTGAAAAAACGTTAACTGGTCTTAAAAGTAACGTTTTCGGCGCTTCCGTCGCCGTCGCAGTTGTCCTTTTCGTAAACGGTCGCTGCTATTTTTACGACACTTAGAAAATGTTTGACCTGCTGTTATTGAGAGTGTTTCTATAAAAAAGAGAGAAAATCGCAACCCTGCAGGGTCAAACCAGGCCTCGAACCCGGACCCGTCGTATCCTAATCTCTCTCCATTACCACTAAACTACTGCACCGACCCGCCAAAATTCCGAAAAAGCTAAGTAAATTCTGTTAAATGCGTGGGTCGTGGGCAGTGGGTAGGGGTCATGGGTCGTGGGTGTGGGTGTCGGTAAATGTCGAGGGTAAAAAAAAAAATTTCCACAAAAACAAAATTAAAATTGAAAAATTAAATACCAAAAAGTTGTAAAATTCGTGAAACGAAAATCTCCGCGTACATACCAGGAGTCCTATTCCCCTTCCCCGCGGTCAGCAAAGCAAATAAGCGAATCCTTTAGTACAACAGGACACTAAAAAGGCATTTAGGCGAAAAATAACAGAAACTTTGTACACTATGTACACCTGAAGCAGGCTAAAGAAAACTGGAGACTTTTCTCAAAGATTACATTTCCGTGCGGTAATAGAATTTACATGCAGTCTAGCTCGTTGAACATGAAGATGGTTTCTTAGGCTTGGTTCAGACGCCGAACTTTTCCTTTCCTGTCCACAGGAATTTTTTTCTTGACAGATTTATTTTTACAAGCATGCAGTGACTATATCAAGAATATAAAACTTGACAAGGCAAAAACTGCCGTATAAAACGTCAAACTCAAAGATTCTGGTGATGATAATGACGACGACAAATAATTTATATACCAATAAATAGATTCTTTGTAGTCCATTGGCTTTTTTCAACCTTAAAAACAAAAATGAACTTGTAAATATCAAAGTAAAAATATACCACTTGGAGAAAGATGATTTTTTAATAAGTGACTGACAGGACTGTGACACTGACTGAAAAATCATCTTTCTCGTGTATTCACAGGGCTCAAACTTCACTATCACATCTACAACCATTAAACAACCTGATTTAACGCCCTTGAAGATAGCAATGCGTATCTAATACATAAAATTCAGTTACATGTATGTTTACTTACATTATAAAGCTCTGTTGTCAATATTTTTTACAGGAGCTTAAACACAAACGCGTTTGTCTTATCATCGTCGTCCACTGGCAATTTTTCTTTTGTAACAGTTTCCCAAATTCCTTTCATTTCCATCTCCTTCAGTTTATTTTCCCATTCCTCCATACACTGCTCTCTAATATCAAAGCAAAGAAGACCCCCTAAAATGTAAAATACAAAAGAGATTAGAGGTCTTAAGGCTCATTAGTTTTGTTTCTAACGTCTGAGTCGGTACAAAATATCCTGCGACCATTCAAATGAAACCTCTTTGGCAGTACTTTCACATGGTATGTATTTTTATTTCATACATACTGAGTGATTCTGTTTGAAGTCAACCTGAGGGAAAACATGGTTCGCGCCTTTATTCAACCAATCAGAAAAGCGAAACGGCTTTTTCACGTGTGAGTAGAACGTTTCGACCAATCACAGCGCACCCATCAAAAGCAACCGTGTTTTCGGTAGCTTTGTGTTTTCATTAAATGTCTTATTCTGGTAGCTTTGTCAAAAAGTTAAAACGTTTAGATTTTTGGCTTGGATAATATCTCAAGAAAATTGCCAGAAGAAGCTAAATAATGGCTGAAGGAGAAATCCTTCGCTTTCCCGCTTTGCAGAAATCCGTTAACCAATTTATCGAGGAACAGAAAAAGAAACAAACGTTGTCGAAAGCTAGACGAGATGATGGCTTGCTCTCCGAGTTTCTGAAATCCAAGCAAGAAAGCAGAAAAATAGAAGAGATTCAATCACAGGAACTCAATGATTTTCCGAGTGAGTTTATACTTACTGTTACTGTTAATAGTAATTGTTTGTACTGTAGTACGGAGCTAGAAACGCATCAAGCGAGTTCTTGACTCATCCGATGAGGACAGCCCGCCTGCTCTAACATTTCAGTGACAATTTTTTGTCAAAGCGTTTTTATTGATAGTACTATTTGGTGTTTTAGGGATCATTTAATGATGTAATCATCGTAGACAGTCTCGAGTTAGTACATTGTATTTCATTTTTGATCAATTTTTTGTCAATATTTTAACTCACAACATTTGTAGAGACCAACGAATGATGTATTTTTTAGGGCATTTGGTTTGAGCTGGCCCTTGTTTCTTAAATTCGCTGGTCATTTTTTCTAAATAAAGAGAGGTTTTCCTAAATAAAAAGAAGAAATGTTCACTCGGTATGTATGAAATAAATAAATTACTTCATGGGCAGGGGGCTTGTACAGAATTTTCACACTCGTTGTTTGTATCAGAAATCGAACGAGCGAGCGAAGCGAGCGAGTGAGATTTCTGATACATCACCAACTCGTGCGAAAATCCCGTACGCGCCCCCTGCCCATGAAGTAATCTCTATGTTTTATTCAACATTTTACAAAACGAAATTATTAAGTCGAATTTTGACTTTGGTCAACTTTTCCAGTGAAAGGGATAAAACGCTTTTCAGTGGCGGAACTAGGAGAAAGGCCTGGGACACCCCCCCCCGATTATTTTCAGATCAACCGAAGGCCCCCAGGGATAAGAACGTTTTTAAGGAGCAGACATTTTACCCCTCCCCCTTTACGTCAAGGTCCGGATGATTTGGGCCCCCTACTATCGCATCTTCGGTTTTGTCTTTTCAGGTTCCCGATCCTATATACATTTCGCCCGGAAAAGTTTTAACTCAAAACGGCTGCCATGAATTGGAAGAGCAAGTTCTGAAAACGCAACTGAGCCTCTCAATTTGAAATGACCTCATGTAAACGGCCATGACTGCGGGTTAAAAATAGAGACGTTAAACAACTACACGGACATCAGCAAACTGCTGCTTCCCCTTGGACGTTGGCCGTCGGTAATCAGCAGGTCTTGTACTTAAGTGTGGTCTATATACTGACCTCAGTTTAAAACGAATTCTTTGATTGCGCGTCATACCATCCGGCGAGCACGATCATTTATAGATACAGTGTTTTCGGACAGTCAGCTTACAATCCCTTTTTCTATCATCTGAAATTGGGTTTGACTCACCCATAATACATTTAATCGAAAGAATTGAATTCAGTTATGCGCAGCGTGAAGTATTAAAGAGCCTGCGACGCCGACACTCAAAATCTTCTGCATAGAGCGTCTGCAAATTAGTGTACAATATCGCGTTGGAATCCCGCAGAGTCGGCCGTTTTGATTGGCTAGTTTCTGATTAGTCCGATCTGAATTAAGTATTGACAGGCCAAACACGACTAATACCTCGTGGCAAGGAAGACTGAGCTCGTGATAGTGTTAATATATACGTCCAAGCGATTTAAGATCGTGGAACATTATCTTCCCGATGCTCATTGTTTCGCAGATGATACGCAGCTGTATCTGACTTTTAAACCACTCGGCAACACTGCTCAAGCTGATGCTATACAAGCTATGGAAAAGTGCATTGACGCGGTGAGGAAATGGATGATTCAAGATCGGTTGATGATCAATGATGATAAAACCGAGTTTTTGTTGGTCGGCACACGACAACGGCTTGATTACTTGATTAGTGTGCGCAATAATCGTATCAGTCCAAGCCCATGTGTTAAAAACCTTGGATCGTGGTTTGACACCAACTTAAGCATGACGGATCATATAAACAAGGCTTGTAATGCGGCATTTTATCATTTACACAACTTGAGACATATTAAGAAATACCTGTCGAGAGATTCTTTAATTACTTTGGTTCACGCTTTTATAACCAGCCGTCTTGACTATTGTAATGGTTTATTGTTTGGCTTACCAAAGGCGCCGATCGCTAAATTACGGCGTGTTCAAAATGCAGCAGCAAGACTTAGACCCTGTTTACATGGAGTGGGGGACCCCGGTCTAGTTGGGTAGGTTTCTTTTGTTTTGTGTCCCCCAGACAAAAGAAACCAACCCCACTAGACCGGGTTCCCACACTCCATGTAAACAGGCCCTTATTCTTGGCATCGGAAAGTTTTCTCACATTACACCGGCGCTTTATGAGCTGCACTGGCTGCCGATTTCTTTGCGTATCGACTATAAGATTTTACTTTTGACTTTCAAATGTATTTATGGCTTAGCGCCAACTTATCTTAGCGATCTTATTAATATAAAACCGAATTCATTATATAATCTTAGGTCCACTGGTAAGCTCTTATTGGACCATCCCAAGGGAAAGATGCTTACAACATTGGGAGCAAGATCATTTTCAGCAGCAGCTCCGAAACTCTGGAATAGCCTACCTGTGGATCGTCAAGCAACATCACTTAACAGTTTTAAAACTCGACTTAAAACTTATCTTTTTAAGAAGTATCTTTACAGTTTGTAACTTAGTTTATTTTATTCTCACGGTAATGTATTTTCGTTTTCTCTTAAATATAGTGTAAAACGCTATTGATCAGAATATGTAAATACGCGCTATATAAATTGGTAAATTATTATTATTATTATTATTATTATTATTATTATTATTATTATTATTATTATTATTATTATTAAACGTGACCTTAGAGTTAGCTTGGAAATCAGAGGTTTTTCTTGCTCGGGTGCACTAATTTGCAGACGGACTTTACAACTGGTTTAGACGATGCGAGGGCCGGCTACAATTCAGGCTAGAAGTAAAACAGCTTTATATTGAAGCATACGACCCCTACTTACTTTCTTCCTGTCGACGCCTAGAAGACGACGGGGAAAAAACTGACCTCATAAGGCTCGATCTCTAGTACAACTTTCAAGATCCCGAACGTTCTCCAGACCAGTATCGCTCAGCAGTGTGTTTATTATTAATTATGTAGTTTTCGGACTTCCTCATTACGATCCCTACTGTGTCCGCGAAAACAAAAACTCTTTTCGTTGAAGACAGACAACGAAAAATAAAAAGGCGGGAAAACGTGAGCACGTGGTCAGTTATGTGTTTTGCCGTTTTTCGTAAACGTAGTAACTTCTCTGCGGCTCGTCATTCACGTGGTACAAAACCACCAAGCTCGTGAGCAAGAGCGAGACGCATTGAGAGAAGACAAACAAAGGAAATTAATGTTACTTATGTGCCAGAGCGCTATGTTTGTCTTGTGTCAGTCCGTCCCTTGCTCTCCGACGCCAGCATGGCACCAATAACTTTACCATGCCTAAAGTGGTACTTAATTATATCAATGAATATAAACTAGCAGTTTACCTTTCACAACAATTCGACACATTTCTGCCAAAGCCGAAGGAAGAATGTGATTATTTCCAAATCCATTGACACAGATAAGAGCGTCATAATCTCCCGTGTTTATCTCTAAAATCCGCTGATCGTCGATTGGAAGGCAGAAAAACTGTGCGTAAATCTCCTTCTTTCTTGCTTCATTTAGCATTTTTTGTGAACTATCCAGTGCGTGTAAATTGGTGTAACCCATTTTGTGAAGCTCAAGACCTATTAAACCTGTTCCAGCTGCTACGTCGATGATTTTTAAGTCTTGCCTACTTTTCTTGGTGAAGGTATTCAATGCTGCATCAAACATTATAGTCATGGGCTTGCATAATTTGTATGCGAAATCGCACAAAATATCCTGAAAGATAATGCACGCAGGCAAACGTCACTTTGGTCACTGGTCAAGTATAGGACAGAGGAACCTGGTTAATGCGAAACCGCCAAGAGGACATCCCATAATGTACTGTATTATCCGGGTGTTCGTCAGACTAGTACCCAGTTGCTATTTATGTGTTTTGGGGGTGAGAGAAGATTGGGGTTAGGTTGAGGCTCGCGTACACTTTTTACTTTGTCCCTTCCCATGAGTCTCCGCGCGCCTCAACCCACACGTTCACTGCAAAAACACATAAATAACGACTGAGTACGAGTCTGGGTGTTCGTATCAAGCGGGCTCTCAGAAAAAAAAACATCTTAGACATATTTTATAGATTTAAAGACTTATAATAAGCAGACATTTTTGCGAGGAAACGTTGTTTAATTTCTTATCGGTAACTTTAACTGGCAAATTCATACTTAAGAAACCTCTCGATCATTTATCGTAGTCTCAGGGTCAAATCCAAGGGAAATGAGACTTAGTTCGAGTTAGCGGGAAGTTCCAGTTACAGGGGTCCTACTGTATCTAAACGTATTGCATACATACCTTATCATAGTCAATTGCCCAGTCTTCATACATGACTCTGAACTCTTCTTTTGTTCCTGGAATTCCACCCTTTCTAAGGTGATTTAATCGATTTCTGAAACAAGACAAGTCAAGTTAAGTCAACTTAATTTAGGCAGATCGGCCATATCACCCACTCGCTGGTATCAAAAGGGGCCCTGGGTTAATTAAGACTACATGAAATTAAAATTTCAAAATAAAGAATTACCTAAAAATCATGTACAAGGATTTTAACAAGTAAATTCAAGGGAAAATACATATCTTCATAAAAATCACAATTTGTTTAAGATTAAAACGAGTAAGTGCGCTACCGTAAGTTGCCTAGGTATATTCAATAATAAGGAAAACTAATGGCTAAAATGAAGTCTAAGAAAGTTCTTAAAAAAGGAAAATGTAGCGTCTTTTATTGATGTGGGTAAATTATTATAGAGAACCGCACCTGAATATCTAAATTAAGCAGTAACTGGCTTACACCTCCATGTATAAACTGGCTTGCGAGCAGCCACACTTGCACCAATTAAGGGGAAATTTTGGCGCCAGAAATAGGCGGAACCGCCAGCGCCTGCACGTGGGGCGAGACTGTCCGCGGGCTGTTGATTTTTGAATTTCGCCCCTTTCGAGGTGTCAAGATACTAGCCAATAGAAGCAAGGCAGGTGAGCAAAATTCCCCCAAACTCACACAAGTCAGCCTGCTCGCAGGCTATATACTGATAAACTTTTTGGAATAGGATTTTGAAGCTTAGAATTTCAACGACAAAGAAACATAAAAGGAAAATAATCCTGGTACCGTAAATTTTAGGGGAGCTATCATATGGAATTTTGCTATTTCTCTTCCGTCCCTCTCTTTCACTCCTACTCAAGTAAAGCCCTTCAAATCGTCTTTAGGTTGCATTCGTTGTGTTTACCACGAGGGTGGAGCGGGGGAGGGGGGGAGGGGGGAAATGGGCAGAGGATTTTGAGAGGGAATCTGAAAATTCTTTTTAATGAAAAAGGAGGGAGTGTAAAAAATTTTCGAAGGCAGGAAGTGGGGTTGCAAAATCTTTTTTCTTTTTTTAAATTCTACTTAAAAGATTAAGCATTCGTAACTTTATTGACAAGCCATAATAATCAAGTGCAATTACCTCAATGAGCTAAAAACTCAATGTCCTTTACTTTGTGAAGTAACGCACTCAATCTTAACATCATCATCATCAACCCAACCGCATATGTACTGTTTTCATTCCCATTTTATTGGTCATTGTTCTCATCATTGTGATTACTCGCCCATCACCATCATTATTATCAGAATCAATCCACCTCATTTTTTAAAACGCTTTCATTTTACATTTGTCAGATCATCTAATTAGCACAACATACATGTCATGCTTCCATGTTACTTTGTTCTGTTTCCAACGTGTTTTTATAGTCCTTACCTCTCCTATTTGAACCTTTATACGATTATCCTCCTTTTTCGGGTTGGAAGGGGGAAGAGAGGGGGGCGGGGGGGGGGGAAGAGGGGTGATTGGTCCACAACCAACTTTCTTGGAATGTACTATTACTTTCCTGTAATCCGAATGGTCAACTTTGTCTAAGTGGCCCCGGTTAGAGTAGTCACACAGAACAGGAGGGCATTTTGTATGCGCACGCGTCAATATGGGCTGTTGAAGTGCCATAAGAAGTGCCACAGAGGCATTTTCTGTGAATTGTTTACGTTCAGTACCAGCATTTGCGGGCTGTTTTCTGGATCTGAGTGACGTGTATTGGGTGTTACTTTCCACAAACGTGTTCTTCAACGTATCGTAGTATTTCTACGATGAAAGTGAGTTTATTGTACCTTCGTTGTCGCCGTTGAGGGTACAGTCTTTCCTTTCGTAAAACAGTACATCGAAGGCAAGATGGCGGCTGAATGTTCTTACGACCTAACATTTAGCGCACATTTTTTGAGCAGGAGAAAAAGGTCAGTATGATAATTTTTCGTTAAACAATTATCCTATAGATACTTAATTCTTCTCAATAGTATAACTCTAAAATCGAACTTAATCGTTTCGGAATACAGAGGATAATTAAGTGTCCATTCTGCCGTGAAACTTTTTTTCACCCTTTCGCTGGCTTCTTTATCTCGAAATCTTGCCTTTCTCCCCAAATTAGGTTAATGATTAATGAAACTAAGAACACTTCCACGAATGAATGGCGCTTTGATGAAGGCTGTGAAAAATCGCCTTCTGCAGTAATTTTAGCCTTCTTCACCGGTACGTCTTCGTTGAGAAATAAAATACACACACTTCAACTATAAATTCAAATCAATATAATGATGCGAGTAAGAAATGAAACGAAATAAAACGTTATCAATACACCTTTTAAATAAATCGTGGCTTCTGTTGCAAAAAAATTGGGTTTATTCCTAAGTGATACCATTTTGTGGATACTACATTTGTTGACAGTATGCTAATTTGTGAGACATTTCATTTACAAAGGATGTTGAATGAGACCAGCTTCTCCTCTGTATTGAACCACATTCTTGTTCAATACATCAGTTTCTGCTTGATAATTCTTCCATGATGTGCAACTTACATAAGGGGTTCATCTGGATACAGTAAAAAGCTCCCGACAGAAACATTAATAACAGATAAATTCATCCATCTATTTGTGTTATGTTTGTTGTCGCATTCCAGCTCATTTGGGTCCTCTAGCAGTAGTATTTATTTTTTGAGGAAACAGAATTATATGCACCTCTTTAACGAACTTCCTGTCTTACGTTTAAACAGGATTTGAAGGTGAACAACATCGTCAGTTAGATTTATGGAGTGGTGGCCATTCTCTGTTTTGAACGGATCACTACTGTCATCAAATATAAATTAATAACAAGAAATCGATTGTGGAACACAGGAGTTGTTACTCAAGAGTCGCTTCAAAATAGTAGCTCGGGAAAAATCTCTGTATCTGTTAGAGTTAAAGAAAAATAAAAGTATTGTTCGTTTTTTCGGGGTATGTGCATTCGTTTTGTCTGCAACTGAGCTTATGAAATGCTCAAATGATTATGTAGTACATAATCACTTGTAATTGTTGCTGTCTCAAACTCAATCCATTCTGCATTTCCTGTAGAATATTTTTTTACAAAATTTTCCGCAAAAAGTTTCGAAAAACTGTAAAAAAAAACCCATAGATTTCATGTTTTTGTGGCATATATAAACGCGTGTCTCCGTGATCAGTTAAACATGAGACATCGCGCTAATAAATAAACCTCGCGTGGTAAAGTTTTTTTCGCCGTTTAGTCTTAAATTAAGCAGCTGAACATTGCTACGATGCATTTCCTCCCTGATAAGTAAAACCACAAGTTTGGAAATCAAATCATAGACTGATGTAATGCCTTGCCAGTGAAAGCCCGACTTATAAAGGAACATGACTTTTTGGCGTTGAGTCTTGAAAGTCTTTAAAGGGCCAAGAAAACCTACTGCTGAAAAATCTACAAGTGAAAAACCCGCGTAGAAAGCGTCCCATTTTCGTCACGGAGAAATTTTTTGTAGGAAAGTACGGTAATCAAAGCACCAACCAAATGGCTTTTAAAAGAACCGTACCTTTACGCGAGTTTTTTCGATTTCCCGCTATCAGACTTGAGGCGCCCACGCTATTGTCGTTCAGCAGATGCACGCATGTACCTGCAAAATGCCCTCCTGTTGTCCCTCCTGTTGTCACACAGTGTTTAAACTGTCCAGCTAGTCTACAGGCACCTCACTCAAATGATTTATAGCAAGAAATAACCCAAACGGAACATAATGGTAGGATTAAAAAAACTCAACTGGCAGGAGGCAACCAGTGGCTATTTACACACAAGCGTGGCAGAGGATGTTGAACTCGGGATGACTGACAACAAACCCAGCAAGTGGTCAGAGAGGAATTTGAACCCCAGTGAGGACTGCTGGATTGCGAGTCCAAGGCATTGACCACTCAGCCACACTACTGTGCCAGTCTGGTATTTTGGCTTAAATAATTAAAAAAAAATTAACTTTCATCTCCTCTCCCTGAGAGATTTGTATTTCACTAAATACATTTTTAAATGCACAGTTTCAGAACCTTTCTGTAGAAGCACGCTAACTTGCAATATCTTTCAGGCCATCCAGTATTTTAGTGAGCCTATTAACGCTTAGCTTTCATCTTTGTTAGCATTTTTTTTTGTTTGTCTTTTATTTACTTGGTCCTGTTCTTTTGCTGGTCTGGGTCTGTAAACCAAGTTTTTACAATAATAATTATTATGGACACTTATTCGGGGACAGAGCAATAGCTTTTCAGGGGGTATGGGTACGAAGGCTGGGGGTTAGGGGCTATTCAACAATAATTCATACAGGCACTGTCCTAAGGTTCAATCCTTAGCCTTTTGTATACCTTTTTTGATGGAAAGGTGCTTCTTTTATGTACCTTTCACTGGGAAATGTTGTCTCGTTCACAAACCTACTAACAGAATGTATTCTTGTTGTTTTATGTACCATTTGATGAATTAAATTGATTCAAGCTACACTCAGTTCAAAATATTTTAGCTTTAAGTAATTAAATAACAAATTTCCCTACACTTTTAAAGTCTGACTGAAAGTACCCCATTGGGCATACATGTAGCTTCTTTGACAGGCCATCCTAAGGAGTAACCCCCCCCCCTCCCCCTCAGGGCTAAAGAGGTCCCCCTTAACTGAAATTGCTAACGTTTGAAACTTGCAGCATGGTCAAATCATAATGACCTTCAAAGTTTGCTTTTTATGTTCTGCACATGGATTTAAGATTTGATATCCCTCAGAATGCTGAACATCACATTCAAAACCCCTGTTTATAAATTATGCAGACGATACACAAATCTTTGCCTCTAGTACTGACGCAAATGTTCTTGCTAATAATATTAATCCTGATCTAGAAAACCTTTATGATTGGCTGACAGTTAATAGGCTCCAATTGCACCCTTTGAAAACTAAGTTAATGCTTATTGGGTCGACATATAACTTAAATAATAAATCTATGTAAAGATTTAGCTAATGCTATATCCATTGACAATA